CTAATGGAGATTATTCCAGGTATTTCTAAACGACAAATCGATGATGCCCGCAGACACGCCGACTTGAGAGGACCAGGAAAACCAAGCAATGCTCCAGAAATTATTAGAGTGCGCCTTGATGCAACGAAAACTGATCACTTTCTAGATTTTATTTCTTCATCTTCCCTTTTGCAAGATGTATCATATGGTACAAAGTCGTTGAAGTTGGATAGCGGAGAGAAACTTCTTATACCAGCGGCAATACGAAATTTGATTCCATCCCGAATCATCAAGCAATACCAAAGCTACTGCGACAGCGTAGCTTTTGAGCCATACAGTGAACGTACACTCTTCCGGATATTGGAGGCATGCTCTGCTTCAAAGCAGGTCTCGTTACAAGGACTTGATTACATCGCCACAGAAGGTGCGGAGGCTTTCGATCAGTTGAAATCCATTGTAAACGTGCTGCAAGATAACGGGGTCGATGTCACCTGGGCAAATTCTATCAAACAGGATCTAAAGGCTGGTAAGAGATACCTCAAGACGGATTACAAAACTCACACGGGCAGCAAAGAGAGATGTAAAGATCACTGTACCACGTTTTCGCTCAGTGATCCGAATAATAGTGACTACTCTAGTTCATGCAACCATGAGCATGAACTATCCTGTCATGAATGTGCACGGCTTACTTGTTTAGTTGAAAAAATCGATGAGAAGTTAAATGACAAGAACGTTTCCTTGACAGGAGAACAAAGGGCTAGATCTCAGTATGACCATAAACAGGCCACAAATTCCATCCTCTTATGGAAGGCGCATTTGCTTCGCACAGTAGTCCAGGAAAAGGCTAAGCAAGACGTCCTAACTAACCTTAATAAAGAAAGCACCCTTTTGATCATGGACTGGGCAATGAAATTTCTGCCAATGAAGTTCCGCGAAAGGATGGACGACTTCTATGGTAAGCGTGGGAGAAGCTGGCATGTGACCTGTTCGATTAAGAGAGCTAGCGAAGATGAGGACAGAGTTGAGGTGGACACATTTGTTCACATCTTTGACTCCTGTACCCAGGATTGGTTCAGCGTTGCGTCAATAGTCGAACACGTTCTTAGCGTAATTAAGATGGAAGACCCATCCATCACCAAATTTTTCCTACGTTCTGATAACGCCGGTTGTTATCACAACACTGAGCTTCTCTTGAGTCTCAAAGCCATGGGGGAAAGACATGGAGTGGAGTTTAAGCGCTATGATTTCTCTGATCCGCAATCGGGCAAAGACGTTTGCGACCGTAGAATTGCCTCGATGAAAACCCACATGCGACGGTGGGTAAATGAGGGCCATGACATCACTACTGCGGAAGAAATGAAAATTGCACTTGAATCTCATGAAGGCGTTAGGGGATGTCGTTTTGCAGTCGTTGTAATTGATAAATCGACCCAAAATTCACAGGTGAAAAAGATCCCAGGTATCAGTTACCTGAACAATTTTATGTTCTTTGATGATGGTATTCGGGCATGGAAAGCATATCAGATTGGGGAAGGTCATTTTTATCCGTATTCTTCCCTTACAACCAATGCTCAAGGAGCTACAGCAATAAAAGTTCTTAATCCGTTTTCGTCACCATCTAATTGCTCTGGGGCTTCAGTGGCTGGACATTCCTCCATTTCGCCCGGCCTGTTCTCTTGTGAGGAAGAAGGATGTGTTAAGATGTTTTCTACCTACAAAGAACTTCAGTATCATTTAGATGCGGAACGCCATCTCTTCGTGGAGGAGCAAGACACTGCGTACGATGTCATCAAGAAAAAGTGGGCCAGCATCTTATCAAACGTAAGCTTACAGAAACAGCGCACTTTTCCACCAATGCAGGCTGGTAATGAAGGCGTTTTGGATTGCCAAGAAGCAGTTGAGGGATGGGCGCTTAAGACCGTCCAAAAGTCAAGCCGGATGTCTGAAGACGTTAGAAACTACTTAATCCAAAGGTTCAATGATGGAGCAAAGACAGGCAACAAAGCAGATCCAAAACAGGTTGAACATGAAATGAAACATGTAAGAAACACGACTGGTGGCTTATTATTCCAACCTTTTGAGTGGCGTACCTCAAAGCAGATTGCAAGTTTTTTCTCAAATCTCTCAAAGTCTCAGCGTGCAAAGAACATTGATGAAGGAAACCATGGTATTGAAACTGAGGATGAGGAGACAAACATCCAGGACAAAAACTTACAACTGTTGCAGCTTGTCATAGAAAGTCAGGTACAGGCAGATCACCCAATTTTGTTCCAGGGGCATAATTTATGTCATCTAGCTACAGAGGGAAAGATCAAAACCCTTCGACTAGATACACTGAAAAAGGCATGTTTGTCGCTGGACGTAGAAGTTACTGGATCCAAAGCAAGGAAGGACACTTTTGCTCTTGCACTAGACAAGTACATCTGCACCCACCGATCTAAGAGCTGCAAATACTGTCATGATAGCTGTTGAACATTGTTAATGCAATTACTTAAAGACGTTAACAGTCACCCTATTACGCATAGTGAGTTTTAATGGATAAAAAGCAAGGAAAATATGTTCAGAATTCTTGTTGAATTTGACTGGTGTTCATGAACAATGAAAACAGTGTTAAGCTATAACAGCGCCTTTTTACCGTCATAAGTTTTCAAAATTCCTTTGCTCGATCAGCTTTCACCAGGCTTGGAAGGGTGAGTTTTTTG